CCAAACTAATCTATCTTGTACAGATTTTGAATTACTAATTTTTTTAACGAACTGAATGCATATTAACGATATTATACCAAAAATGATACATGTATAAAATACATTGTAATATTTACATATAGTGGAAAGCTAGATTAAAATTTTTATCCTCTAAAAGTTAATTTAATTTTCAGCAACGGTAGCTTGAAAATGTACCCACAGCCTGGTTCTTATATTTTGAAGAAATTTGTTAATTTGAAGAGTTTAACAATTTTTTAATCCTTTCCGCAGTTATTCGTATGAAGTGGGTGGCATGATATCAATTTGTACAGATATTAAACCTGTATTACATTGTTCGATATCAAACATGTACTGATATCAAACCTGTACTACATTGTTGGTGATATCAAACATGTACTACATTGTTGGTGATATCAAACATGTACTACATTGTTGGTAATATCAAATAAGTACTACATTTTTTATGCATCAAACATGCACAACATTATTGGTGATATCAAACATTGTTGGTGATATCAAACATGCAAAACATTGTTGGTGATATCAAATAAGTGATACTTTGTCGATGATATCAAACATGTACTAAATTAAACATGACAACTTTGTTCACTTTTTACCTCGAATTATGACTTGAATCTTAAAAAAAAATACATGTCCATGAAATAAGATTTTATCATAACCGTACCTCCCTCTTTTTGATCTCTTTATATAGTAATGACCAGTTTGGATTGTTGGTGAATGGGTGTTTAATACATTATTATTCAAAACAGTTACTGTATTTCTTCACAACCAAGAAAGCCTCTCAATTAACTTTTTTTTGAATGAGTAAAAGGCGATATAATTATGAAATTCCAACATAGGTCAGGATAAGTTTACTCTCTTGGTTAAAAAAAATCCTAGAAAATCTTATGAAAATATCGATATTTTATTTCGTTGCCATAGTGAGAATCTCAGATCTTTAGTTTTTACTTCTGACACTGTTACCTAAATTGTTTAAAACTCTTAGATGAAAAATGACATTATATTTAGAAATCTGAGGTCTAATAATCTTAGAGCTACAATTTTGAAATGCAATTGTTTTAATATTTAAAAGATGTTGATAATAATTCAGATTGTTTTAAAATACTTTGAAAATTAAAATATCTAATTTATCTATAAATATAACGGTAAACATAATAAATATGTTCAGTTTACTACGATCAAGAGGTAAATGTGTGATTATCTTTTTTCAATGAAAATTAAAAAAAAATGTTTTCATTTCCTTTAGAAGCTATTATTTTTAACAAATGCAACTGCATAGTAGGTAAAGGTACAAAGGAACTTCATTCTAGTTCTTTGAAAGTCCTTTTCCTGTTATTGAAGAACACAGGAAATTTTAATTAAATACATTATGTGAACAAACAATTCATCCCAGATTCTTATAGTGATAATCAACAGAGATATTATTTAGCTTACAAGATGTAAACAATCAAGGTCAATTACATTAATTTGTCAGGAAGAGAGGGTCCGCTCAGGTGAGCGTTGTGGTCATTTGTTATTTAATATTAGTCAACATTTATTTCATAAACAGGAAGATATTATATTAGAGCACAAACATCTTTGTTTTTCATATACGTATTTAATAACAGATCGTGTATTCGTTTTTTACCATCCTTTTCACTGGCTCACTTCAGCCAGAACAATGAAGTCATTTTTTTTTCAAAATTTTGTCAAAGATGGATGAATAAAAGAGCAAAATGTCTGTTATGCAACAGTTGAGAAAATGAAAAAACAAAATTTTTTGATATTTCATTTAACGATAACGAAAACTTATTGTAAAATCTCCACAAAATCGTAAGAGTTTCCCAAATACGGAAATATAGTTCATCTGTGGAATAGCTTACATTGTACATGTACAGAGGGCAAAAATTGTCAATTTTTCATACAAAACACAGTTTTTCGATAATAGAGGGATTTCTATTAATTATTTTCTTTGAAAGATCGCTCTCAAATTACATCTCGACTAACAAAGACATGGAACAAAGATCATACCTTGATTTTTATGACATTTTTATGACACTTCACTTGTATCTTTCCATTTAACCAGGATCGTTTCACAAAAATGATTCTACGTCATTATTTTTTTATGAGCCATAAGTAGTGGTTAACATGGAAAATTGATACTCAGGATTGTTATTGCTTGCATTAGAACCTCAGGAATATCACGCTTTTTAGCTCACCCTAAGTGTGAGCTTTTCTGTCTGTAAACTTTTGACATTTTCGACTTCTTCAGAACCACCTGGCACAGAGTATCCTTAGGAAAAGGGGATTTAAGTTTCTTCAATTGAAGGACCACGCCCTCTTCCAAAAGGAGATAATTACGAATAAGTGAAAAAATTAATGGCACCTTTTAAAAACTCTTCTTCTCAAGAACCACTGGGCCAATAAAGATGAAACTCATTAAGAAATATCCCTAGGTAGTGTAGATTCTATTTTATTTTTCAAATCATAATTACCCCAGGAGTAGCGGGGGACCACAATGGACGATCAAAGTTTTACATACTAGGAATATACAAGTAAAATCTTCTAAGAACGACAAAGCCATGATTGATGATAATTATGTAGAAGCATCCTCGGGCACAGATGTAGTGTAGATTTAGATTTGTTCAAATCATAACCCCCGCGAATAAGGTAGGGCCATAATGGACGATCAAAGTTCTATACAGGAGTGTATGGGGGAAATCTTCTGAATAACAGCAAATTCATGATTGATCATATTTATATGGAAGCATCCTTGGGGAGATGTAGTGTAGATACTAGATTTTTTGCATTTTTTTTTAAATCATGACCCCCTGGGATTGGATGGGGCCACAATTTTAAAAGTTTTCAAAGTTTTACATAGGAAAGATATATTTTAAAGTTCAAAAATCTTCTCAAGAACAGCAAAGCCATGATCTGTCATATTTATCTCGAAGCATCCTCGGGAAGTTTAGATTCAAATTTATTCAAATCATGCCCCTTGAACGATCACAGTTTTACTTAGGAATATGTAGGGAAAATTTTTAAAACCCTTCTCAAGAACAGCAAAGCCATGATTGGTCATATTTATACGGAAACATTCTTGCTTGTTAGTGTACAGATTGACTTATTTTTCCAAATTATCATGACCCCCAGATGAAGGGTGGGTCCACAATGGAAGATCAGTTTTACATAAATATATATAGGTAAAAAAAATTTAAATTCTCAAGAACAACAAAGCCATGATTGGCTATTAATTGTTCGGAAGTATCATGGGGTATTGTAGATTTAAATTAGTTCAAATAATGACACCCTAGGGATAGGGTTGGGCACAATTAATGATCAAAGTTATACATGTACATGGGAATTCATTAATTAGGATTTTTTAAGAACAGCAAAGCTATGATCGGTCATACCTATATGGAAGCATCCTCATATAGCGCTGTGTCAGATTTGTTTAAATCATGACTCCTTTGGTTAGGAGGGGGCCGCAATGAAAGTTCAAACTTGTAAGGAAAAAAGTTCTAATCGTAACCCATCTACCATTCTACCTCCTTTTAGGAGTAGTTCGGGACCACTTTTGCATGAATTTAAACTCTTTTAGTATTAAACTGATGTTTTATTTTTTCCCCAGCCACAGTGCTCAGGTGAATGATGTGGCCCATGGGTGGCATATTAAATTGTTATGTTATTTTTGCAAAAGAATTCTCCACAGAAAAAATTTGCTATTTAAAGTTTCATAACTTTCAATTATAAGAACTTTACTCTGAATTCTACATTCAAGAAGCTTTGAACGATGATTGATATCGATGTTTTGATTCTTGCTGACGCTAATCTGCACACAGCATCCGATGTGTTTTAATGACTTTCGAAATCAAAGAAAACAGGAATATTTCTGAAAACTTAAATAGTATAAAAGTCTTTCTTTAAACTTCTTTAGTGCCAAAATTCAGTTTGAAGTAAAAAATTTGACAATGGGCCAATTTCATTTGTCACTGATCGGCATACGCCGTATTGCGCCGGTCATATGGCCGGCGTAAAACGGCTAAGTGGCAAATGAAGTAAACCGGCGAAAACATTTTTAAAAAATGAATAATTACGCTGATTATAATATAAATGATAATCAATTATTCATTATCATTATTCTCTTTTTTGCCTGTGCAAATTTTCAATTAAGTTTTATCACTTTTTACATTATGTCTTAGTAGAATAATTCGAAATTCAAATTTAAAACAAAACAAAACATGGACCTCATGAAAAATTTTATTTTCTAGAGAATAAAAACATATTTTAAATTTTTGAATAGAGATTTGCTCAAAATATGCAAACAAATAAAGAACATGTCGATTTGGTAAAAAGTATCTGCATTTTCACAGTTGTTTTTTCTTCCCGCCATATTTCTAAGACCGGCGATTTCCTCGTCGGTCATTTCAGACCGGCGCATTCGGCGTACGCCGGCGAACCTACCCCAGTCAAATGAAGTAACAAGCCGGGTTACGAAAGGTCAAGCGGCGCATTCGGCGTACGCCGGTATGACAAATGAAATCCTACCGTTCTAGTAAACATTCTTTCATCCAGCGGTTAGACCAATGTGACAATAAAATAAGGAATCATTTTGGTCATTTCAAGTTTTTAAAATCCTACTATTTGGCGCTATGGGTCTATATGAACGGTAAGGCATCGTTCTTTAGTGATATATCATTACCTATCAATAAGGTGGCGCTGTAGACTGTACATGTAGATCTTCTTAAATAGATTTCCGTTGTTTATTATTTGATTTGAATGTGTTAATTTCATGAAAAATTCAGTCCAATGCAAATCACTCCTCTCCCACTCTTACGCACGTGTTTTGACATAGATATAACGCTTATATTAACGTTAAATCATAATATAAAATGCGCAACTTGCAACAACCAAACTTGGGAGAATATGATGAATAAGAAAACGAACAGTAAGCCTTAGAAAACTTGTGTAATTTCCTTAAAATTTCTTAAAATCACAAGCATTTATTCATCTATGAAATCTGTTTCAGGTAACTTTAGGAAATGTGATACGAAAGAAGACTGTTTGAACAACACGCAGAGCGAGATAGAATGTATAGACAATGGGAGCCGGGGATTTACGACTTGTTACTGCATACATAATTTGGAGGAGACTGATCGAGACGGAAGATGTAAAAGCCTATGTACGTGTATTTCTTTTTAATTTGATATTTTAACTTTTTAAGGAGGTTTGATCCTGCTTCTAAAATTCTTAAGAATTTTTTGCCAAGTATATTTCTAGTATTTAGACATATTGCTCAATTAAAAATCAACACAAAAAAAAATGCTTCTATTTGGCACTAGAGAACATGCACATGTAATGTATGTAATCTTTCTGCACTAAGATTGTGTCTTAATCTTCAGCTCAAATCAATTCTTCGAAGTTTTCCTAAAAGTATGAAATTTCAAAATAATTCTCTAACTTGTTCAACAGAAAAATGATATTTTCTGAGTGCGGAAAAGTCAAATAATTGAATATACAAACTAATTTTAAACTTTTTGTCATATTTTTTATATGTCTTTTCAAAATAAATTCAGGTCTCTTTGGTTCCATTGATTTATAAATATAGATAAAAATGTTGAAGTTAATGAATTTAAAATTTAAAGTTATCTTATATATTCAGAAAAGAAATTTTTAATCAAAATGGGGGGTCTGTGATGTAAATTTTTAGATATTACTAAAAAGTGTTATTTTTATTTAAAATGGGTGCTTTTTTTCTCCTGGACTCGCAGAATGTATTAAATTGCAATATTTGTCATAATATGGTGATTTTATAAAAGTTAATTCAATAAGTATATGACTTTATGTATAGCCTGAATGGAAAATCGGGAATAAAAAATTAACAGTTCTGTAAATACTTTGAAAACGAAATACTTACCCCAATATGGTTTATAAATGAATACTTTTCTTCTTTCAATATGAACAATTTTTTTTCACGTATTGAATAAAACATTCTTAGGCTCCAGTACAACAATCAAATTATTTAATCTTATAAAACAGAAAAAGCAAGAGCATTCACTCATAACGAATCATGTGAAAATTAGGCTGAATAATTGTGACTCCCTACTTTTGCAATTTGAATTATTCCTGGAGAATAGCTTTTAAGTTAACATGTAACTATCATTCCATTCTTTTCTGTGCAGCATACAGTTCTCATGAAGATGCCAAGGAGACATTTCTGATATCCATTGACAACAATGCCACAAGCAATTATAACAAAGTTGGTATATAGTTTTAATCCATTTTTTGTCAAATTAAGATGGCAAAACACAATGATAGGCTAGCATAAAAGAAGTTCACTTGAATGTTTTCCCAGTTCGGCGCTATAGAATGGATTTCCTTTACCTTAGATATCCTTTGGGAAAAATTAGCCTCTGTATAATTTTATTTTTGCGTTTGAGTGCTTAATTCTTAATCATAAGTTTAAAAGGAAATTCCTGTCTTGTTTTCTACTAGGTGTTGATTTAGGATGGGAGATAAGTTAATGTGATAACTAAAGCAAAAAGAACAGAACTTCATTTTTAATTTATTTTTTATGGATAAATATTGCCTTTTTAATCGCACTATGTTTCATGTCTATGAAACCCTCAAAATGTTTGAATACACATCTCTTATTATTGTTTATATGGTTGAATAAAGACTAGTGTTTATTTTCATAATTTTTATGAGAATAGAAATTTAGTTTGAATCTTTCGTTTTGGTTTTTTCAGACTCTGAATCCTGTTTTATCAGCGAAACCGGAAGTCCCGGAAACACAAACTCTTCTTCAAATATTCATTCCCGTATCATTCATAATCACCCTGTTAATGGTTCTTGCTTTCATTTTTGCGAGAAAGAGACAGTTTTGTCAAAAGAGGAAAAAGAGAAAAGATGTTATTATTCGCAATAACGAGGACATTCAGTTGTTAGATAGAATGAACTTTGTGAATAAGAATCCGACATATTTTATGACGTCACAAGAGAAGTCAGACGAAAAGAAGGTTTCAATAAAAGAGATTCCATTTGAAAGGGTGAAGATAATAGAAACAGTGGGAGAGGGAGCTTTTGGACATGTTTATAAGGGTGAGATTTTTCGGGTAGAGTTATTTAATATAAAAAAAAAAGAAACAACATTATTTGTACATTCAAATTGCTGTGTAATATTCAGATACCAAATGTGTTGCCTACCTCTTGGCATGCAACGAACTGAACAGTCAAAAGCCTTATCAATGAAATAACCAATAAAGAAAACTAATAATAAATAGCTTCATACATGTACGGCCATTAGATCACGTGTTCCTTGGCCCATATACTTGCCAGTTATTGAATAGAACTTGCAAAAATTAAATGTATTATTTTAAAAACACAGTTTATAAGTAAGAAAGTTGAAAAAATTGTACAACAATATTACATTAAAACGAATATGTAATTCTTATTTACTTCCCAGGCCTATATTACACCCAAGACTGTCCAAGCGCAAAGGACGTTGCAGTAAAAATTTTGAAGGAAGGCGTGTCAAACGAAGTCAAGGAAGATTTTGAAAGAGAAGTTGAAATAATGAGCAACTTTAACCACGACAATATTTTGAGTCTGCTAGGTGTTATTACCAAAGGTAAGAAAGAAACTATAAAATTTGTTCTTAAAGAGAAAAAGGTTGATAAAATTGGCTACCTCTAATCAGCCTGTCTAAATTTCTAAGAAATTTATATCAACACCATCAAATGCATGTCTTAAGCTTTTAGACAAACGTGTAACCCGTAAGACTGAGAATAAAAGCTATCTTCGTTTAACACGTCACAATTCTAGCAGCAACAAAAATACTTCATCAGAATTGTGCCGCTAAAGAAAAGTGGAGTTCAAAAGAACAAGAACTCGCGATCGATTTTAATAGTGGTGCATGGTGCACAGAAATGCAACATTGTTACTTATATATGCATGCATTTGAAAACCTGTCTAGATTGTCAAATTAAAAATTTTAAAAGTTATTGAAAAATTCTAAGTATGAAATCAGCTTTTTTCCCTTGGTAAGAATTTTAGATCTATGTAATTTTTTTTTCATTTTGTAGATATTGGTGATACGCCCTATATGATATTTGAGTACATGGTTCACGGAGATTTGGCTGAACTCCTCCGCAGAAATGATCCAGTGATGCGAAAGAGTGAGAATGATTTCAAACTCAAGAAGGTATGTTACAAATTCTTACAGTGGGTATGTTACCAATCTAACAGTGGGTCAAATGAGAGAGGGCTGACGAAATCGCTTTGGAAAAGTTTTATACACGTAGTCGATGAAGTTATTGTGAAATCACTTACTTTCATGGGTGTTAAATTTTCGAAGCCTCGAAAATTTCATTCCATGAAAATACTTGTATGAAGTTTTACTGTATTCCAAGGTTTTTTATGTTAAGCATCCGTGCGTGCCATGGTTTCTGAAACAAAAAATCAACCAAAATCGGGAGTTTTGAACGTTTGAATTTTGTTAATATCTTTTTATTTTTTATTTGTCTAAAATAGGCCACTTATAGCATATATTAAGTTTTTTGAAGTATCATAATTTTTCCTAGAAATAGACTTCACTAAAAGAAAAATAGAATTGTGAAACTACATCCTTTGAATAACGACATTTTTCGAAACAAAAAGGGTGTTCCGTGATTTAATACTTGGCTTGGTTGGTTTGTGAATATATAGGTAAGTAGGTTTTTGAAAGATATGTGCATGCTACATTAAGATAAAATTGGAATGGCCTGATTTCACAGGTACAGTAGTCAAAATCATTATACCCCCCCACTTGAAAAGGGGATGTCCGTCCGTCCGTCTGTTATTCTTCGGGGTAACCAGTTCTTATCCGCAACTCCATATTCCACTGAATGAAATTTAATGAGACTTTCACCGGTCTCCACGTCCTGCAGTTTGTTCGATTCCTTGCGTCAGTGTAGAGAGAAAGCCTTAATCGGAATTGAACGTTAACATATGAAAAATATCAAATATTGTAGGCGTGATGTCCCTATTCTTCTATTAAAAACCTTTATGAATGGTGACAATCCCTTCAGCAATATAGATCTATCTGCTTTTCAATTAACACATAAGTTAATACTCTGAAAGTTAATAATCACATATTTCTTCACGTTATGCCCATAAAAGGACTTTACCTACTTGTCTATTTTGTAGGACTGGGTGTTTTGACTTTTAAAACAGGATGTTTTGTAAAGAAGTAGATGTTATTGCCCCAAGGTTTGGTATTTACAGATGCCGTTACACGCAGTTGTCTGATCTCAGTCATAAATCCTGGTCTTGTCGTCGTTTTTGAGATACCCATTCAATGCCCATCCTTTCCATGATCTGATGTGTTCAAAAGCATTAATTAAAATACCACTTCTAACAGACAGTGATCTAGCAGAAAATTCATTTTTTATGTCTTGCTTTAGCCTTGGCCAACGACAAACCAATATTTCAAAACAATGTTAATATTTTCTTCCCCAAAATTAGATGTTATTCTTTTAGAAGAAGGGTAAGTCATTAAAATGTTTTTGGTTAAGATTCATGTGTACTTGAAAAAAAAGGAAAAAGATGATAAGGAATATGCTTACTCGATATGGACATTTGATAGGACCTATAATAAGGTGAACATTTACTCAATTACACTGATGGCCCAGCGGTAAATCATTTAATACAATTAATTAAAAAGCGTTAAGTCTATGGTTACATGCAGTAGACAAATAAAAGTAATGTTGGTTTATTAATATTAACAATACGCATTTGAATAAAGCCCCAAACGAACATTAATATGCGATGAGAAAATATGACACATCGGATAATGCGTAAAAATGCGTATAACAATGTAAGATTTAGTGTCTGAACAAATTTTCAAAAATGTATATAGAATTTAAGTAAACTCACTGCATACAAGGAAAAGAGTTAGGGAATGACAAACCCCTTTTCAATAATTAAAAAATATCTTCATTTAAATGAAGTTGTGTGAAGTTATCGCCCTTAAAATTTTTAATTAAATTCATTTTTCTTCTTATTAAAAGATTTTGCTAAACCCGGTTTAAAGTAAAGAGATCAAGAATGAATATTTTATAATTTCTTTTAAAATAAATAAGAATTTTCTCTTTGTTTTAGAATGAGTATTTTCACATTATTTTTTTTATTGTAAACACTATGAAACCTTAACGTTTTAGGCATTTATATATTTTTTTTTTCATAAGGACATTAAGTAAATAAGTTAAGCAAACAAAAAAAAAAAAGAGAGAGAGAGAGAAAAAGAGAGAGGAGAGGAGGAAAGCTGGAGATTGGAGTGGGTGATAAAAGGGGAGAGTGGCCATGAGAACGGAAGAAGGAGAGTATAGTGGGAGAATAAGAGGTTGGGAGTAGAGTTGGGGGAAGAAGAGGCTGGGAGCAGAGATTAATAGGGTAGGAGTAGACGTGGGGGAGAAAGAGAGTGGAAGTAGACGTGGGAGAGTAAGAGGGTGAGAGCAGACGGGGGATGTAGTTTGGGTGTAAGAGGTGCGAGAGAGGTTTGAAGTAGATCAGACAGAAAGGAGGATGTATGGGGAATAGATATATTAGGAGAGTATAACTGCAGAGGGGAAAAAGGGTTTTATTTGAAATTGCACTACTTTAATGGCTTATGTACCGGGGGAACAGGGGCCATGCAATTAACATTCATTGATGCTCTAGTCTGAAAATGGTTAATCATTTCTAGGTTCAACAGAAGCTGAAATATTTGTGACCGATCCACGAAAGACGTCGGACGACAAAAGACTAATCCCGATAGCTAGATATTTTTATTCGTATTTATACGAGGGTTTTATTAACAATTATTTAATAATTTTGAAGAAAAAAACTTCATTTTGATATTTTTTTATTATTAATCTAGGTTAAAATCAAAGAGGATTGCAGATATTGAAGCTATACATATTTTGATTTGTTGTTAATTGTTTAACTCCCTCTTGAGCATTTTTCACACACATCAAGACGCCTAAACTTGTCTGTTGGGAGGGGGGTGCTAATTTATACCTATAGTTGGCATTGAGGGATATTGAGCAATCAGAGATCTTTGTCGTGCCAAAACCTACCGCGACATGGGACCTCGATTTATACGGTCTCATCCCCAAAACCGGGGTCTCCACGTCTGCAGTGGATTCGAACCCGCGACGTATGTAAGAATCAGCTCCTTATTTCGCGACTCTAGAACAGACGCTATAACCACTGCGCCAGGTTGTTTTATTCATGTAAATTTTAGTGAGACCTTTTAATTTTGTTATTAAAGCGTTAAAGCTTTTAGAAATCAACATTTCATAGCATAAGGTTGTGTGATTTAACCTTTATGTATTTGCGGACCGTACGGTAGAAAAATGATCCCCGGTCAATATTCTACAGGGGTTGTTTTTCATCCTACGGCGGAAGTGCTGTGCATATGTCTAAATTTACAGCCCTCCACCACCAAGTGGTAGCATATTAATATGAGTTAAAAAATTTCGTAGGGAAGTGAAACAAACAATGTGTGTTGCATTTTCATAAAAAAAATCTAGTTCAATCAATTTGTCTTGCACTAAGGTAACATGCTATAGTTTTGGCTTGATGGAGCGACCTCAGTTGTGCAATTTGTCACTAAAGGCATTGTAGATTAGTTGCATTTTTATGACCCCGTAATCGAAGATTCGGGTTTTAGTACAATTCTCAGTTAAGCTTGGACTTTCAGTAAGGCGTGGCATTCTCGACGTTACATAATTAGCTTCTGAAATTTACACAGCTTTCCTTCACTGTTGAAATATACATAGGATAGAAATTCGGTCGAGTGTAGCAAATAGCCAATTACAAGTTCTCGCACGGCACAGAGTCGTCTCATCGTTGTCAACAACAATTTAAAGTTCCTAATGTTATCAATTTCTTAACCAGTGAGAATCTATTCGGCATTTGACAGAAGCTAATTACGTACAGCGCCGAGAATGTCACGCCTTACTGAAAGTCCAAGCTTAAATGAGAATTGTACTAAAGTTCTTGCCCTGTTCGTCCGTCTGTCTATCTGTCTATCTTTTTGTCCTCAAAAACCTGTCCATAACTTTTGATCGGTTGGAACTATGGCTTTTATTTTTCACATGTGTATTCCATGTTACAAGACTTTCCTTTGGTACAAAATTTTACCTTGAAGGTAAATCCGCATTTGCAAATAAAATTACACAATTTCAACCATAACTTTTGAATAGTTCGTGCTAGGACTTTTATATTTTGCATATTTATCTTGACAAGACAAGATCCATGGAAGCCCTTAACCTTGGAGTTTGACCTACGTATAAAAAACTCTTATTTCAGGTTACCAAAAACTGCAAGTTAACAAAACCGCAATACAAAATTGTATGAATTTTAAAGCTTATGTAAAAGTATTATTTTAATACATTGTATATGTACATGTATATGGTTTCCATGTCTGTATCCTAGATGAATCAGTTTTTTCCTTTACTTTTAGGCTGACCTCATTGATGTGGCGTTGCAAATAGCCAATGGGATGAAGTATCTGACGTCACAGCATTTTGTGCACAGAGATTTGGCAACAAGGAATTGTCTGGTAGGAGACGATCTTACAGTCAAGATATCGGACTTCGGAATGGCGAGGGATGTGTACACTCACGACTACTACAAGGTGCTCAATGGCTTTTATTTAGATCATAAATTTGACTTCTTTAGGACGGATTCTAATTTGAAATATTTTTTGTTTCCATTATCACACACTGGCGTACTTTAAAAAATTGAAGCTACATTTTCTGGGTTTTTTTTTTGACATTTTCTTTAGTAAAATTAATGCATTCGAATCTCAAAAAGTCAGACTTGGTAAATTTCAACTGCAAATATTACAAATTGCGTTGTAACTCTGTATTTGTAATAAAATATCTAAGGGAAAGCTGGACTAACTTTCATTTTATTTTTTATAAGATTGGGGGTTCCAGAATGCTTCCCGTGCGTTGGATGTCGCCGGAGAGTGTTAAATACGGCTGCTTTACGAACGAGTCGGATATCTGGGCTTACGGCGTGGTTCTGTGGGAGATTTACAGCTATGGTCGACAACCGTACTATGGGCACTCAAATGAAGAGGTAGGTACGAACGAATAAAGAGGTAATACCTGTCAATTTCTTAAAAGAATTGACTTTTCGCCATCTTCTCCTTTTTCATAAACAAGTTATCTCTCTTTGCTCACTCTGAAGTCTTTAAGATATCTTATTAAAGTTTCCCTCTAACAACCGAGAAACAAGTTGGTAGGGAATGAAACAAAGTTAAAACAACTTTATTGGGGAGGGGTGGGGGTGGGTGGGTAGGTGCGACATTTGTAATAAGGAAACAACACGTGGTCAATCTAAGCTATTGTTAGTTTCTCTGTTCAATGTTCATATTGCAAAGTAGTATTCTTGTCATTGAAATCAAACATCCAGTCATTAGAAATATTGTGATCAATTTGTAAAACTGAGACAGCTCCATTAACCCCTTCCATGGCAAAGATTTTAAGCATTTCTAGACAAATTGATATTAAGATTTCAATGCATTTTTTGAGTATTTCATGTAATTTTTGTATATACCAATGTATATATATTCTGAAAGCAGGTATTCTGTAGTTTCTGAAAATGATTATAAAAATATCATTTCAGTTGCAATTGCAACGAAATACACCATAATCATGCTGGAATTTCCATTTATTCAAGAATGAGTTTCATTCAATTTTTTTTTTTTGCTTAGTTAAATATATTAAAAAATATTTTATTGCTGTGTTGAAAATTATGAGCATGTTGTACATTTTTTACAAACCAATTGTAAATATTTTGGGGGGATGGAGTGGGGTTGGAAGGTAATCAACAGAATTTAGCATTTTTACATAGAACGTGTTACCCCTGCATTGATTTTCGATAATGGCAAATCGATCAAATTGGGGGAAAGTTGAACTCAAGCTAGCAAAAAACTGGTACAACTAATAAAAAAATTTTTTTGTATATTATTTCATTGCAATTATCTTCTCTTTTCAACAATGTAAGATTTATTCTGATATTTGCAGTATTAACGAAGTTATGAATGTTTTTTCACACTACTCTCGTTTTTCAAGTCAGATGCGTAGAAATGCGTATATGCCATGTAAGGGGTTAAACAAAGTGACACGCTGTTATTGGAATGATATTACATACCTTACATGTACCAAATAGAACCAAGGTAAGGACAAAATGACACCATTGTCAAAATTAAAGAAAAGTTGTGAGTACAGATATTTGGGGTTTTTAAACTGCAAGATTGCGAGATTGTCCATGGAAAAATTTTACTTGTTTAAGTCTAACATTGATATTAAAAATTTTCATACTGTATGGTGCAGATAGAACGCAGGTGGGCGGTACATTGTTCTCGGGGAATACTAACTAGACTGTCAAGACTTTAATGTTTTTTAAGCTATATTTAATAACACTTTCACAAAGGAATCGAAATTTTATTTACGACCGTATCATTATGCAATGAGTGTAATTGTACCCCATTTTTCGCTTCTTGAAGAAAACATCGTTGACGATTTTTAAAGTATTTTCTTTCATAATTACATGTCTCTCTGTCATCCATCACAACTGCTAATCTCTCATTTCTATAAACATTGATTTAAAATCCATGTCTTATGCTTTCGCTTAAGGGTTGGGCTAATTTGCTCACATATTAAAAATGTAATTACATGTAGATCCAAATCTTAAGTGGAAAAGAAATCTAGTTTGCAGAGAAAGGAAAAACACTTGAGGAAAGTCTTAATTTTAGACATCCCACTAATAAGGCTTAGTGATCTCGACACTCGAAGGAAAATTTACAAACATCAGTGTATCGGATATTATACTGTTTATTAGCGGATGATATGATTGTACGATAACACGGTGGTACGATAGTTACGTGTTATAATGCGATGTCACCATCATGTCGGGGCAATGTGATGCGATCGTTTGCTCGATTACAGGATGGCTCGGTGGCATTGTGTTGATGATAATGTCGACCATCGTCATCGCCAGCATATCATCCGGTCATTGCGTCATTGTACATGTACATGTACCATCATAATCTGGTCATAGCGTCATTGTACCATCATCGACCCAAACTTCCATGGTGCAAACTAAATACCCCTATATACATGTAAATATCATAAATGTTTAATTTAATTCGATAATTTTCATTTTGACAAGGTTGTTCGCTTCTTGGACGAGGGTATACTGTTACAGCGATCTGAGGAATGTCCCGACACAGTCTATCACATAATGCTGAGCTGCTGGAAAACAGACCCAAAAGAGAGACATTCGTTTTGCCGAATCCACAAGCATCTGACTGACTTCAGCAAAGAGATCTTAAAAAGTTCCAACTGCAGCTTAAATACCACGGAACAAAATGCTTGTTGAAGTCATAAGGACCATAAATGGAAAAGATTTTCCAACCCAATATAAATTCTTTTCGTCAGTGGGGAAGGAAAATTTTACGGTGTCAGTTGAGCGAAAGAAATTCTTTTGTTCTAAGCTGTAAATGCAGTCGACTGTCCTGCCCCGTGGGTAGATTTTGTTGACATAAGGAAAGACAACTGTCACTTATTTAGACGTATTTCTGGGAGGTCTGAATCGTGACAATATTATTCAACTTTCCTTTTATTTAGTTTGCTTTCTCTATCATAGTAGGTCTGTATATTTATGATTTTCCCTCAAAATGTAATTACATTTATATTATGACATACAATGTAAACTGTGCCTGAGCTAGAAAACTCTCTCTCTCTATCTCTCTCTCTCTCTCTCATGTATTGATTTCCATGATGATGTACCTTTTAGTCAATTCCGAATTCGGCATTTTGTTTGTTATTTTTGCCTTTTCATAGTATTTTGGGTTTTTTGATTTATCATTATAACTCAGAAATTATATTGTTCAATACAGGCGTGAAAACTACATATATGTACACGTTTGTAATTTTTGACATGTTTTTTTTTATGTTACCCGATACAGAGCTTGTGTAAATGGTTGAACAGGTCAACATTACATACTAATGATATGCCTCCAGTTATTTTGCCATTTTAAGGCAAGAATCTAAATTCAGTAATATATATACGGTCGTTTACAACTGTTAAATCTTACAAATATTTAAAAAGCGAAGCATAAATCCGTTTAATGATGTTTGAATAATGTGATGAAAATATTTTTAAGAAAATATGTTTACTTATATATGTATATGTAGTATGTATTGCATTGTTGAAAGAACTATTCATGCATTATTATTATTATTATTATTATTATTATAGTCAACAAGTTGTTTGTAATAAATTTTGGTATACATTTACAAGATTGTTTATATTCAAGTAGAATCGTGTAATTATCAGAATTAGAATAAAATCTTGAAGAAAAACAAAACTGATGCCATTATAGACAACTGACTTTACGACTATCTTCATCAAAATTGAATGTACATGTGTGAAGTAAACTTTACAATATAACTTATATAAGTCTCGTCAAAGTCAGGCAAATATATGTCTCTGAAAGAGTGAGTTAAAATATAAAAAAGGCCAGTGTATACATCAAGTCTTAGCCACACCAACAATTACGAAGCTGTTTTATAGGAGAGGTGCTTACAATGCTGAATCAGAATTATCTCAATTCAATCGGTCTCTCTCAAGGTCCTCCATTGAGAAGAGATAATGCGCATGCTTTACTAGCATTTAAAAAAACTAATTCAGAGAATCTGTCTCCCGTTGAAGAAAAAACAAGATAAAATATCGTAGAAGTACATTTTCCGCGTGGTACTAATTTATGCTATGTACGTGGTCATATTTTCGCGGACTTTATCCCATTAATTCATATACATGTACTTCTTGGGATAAAATGAGAGTCTAGGAAATTCGTGTAATTGTTTAACCACGGATAAAGCAGAAATATGATTTCCGCGGAAATATGACCCCGTGGAAAACGTCTATAGTAAAATGACAAAGTGTTAACGAAATTCCATTGTGGAAATGCACTGTAAAAATACATATTTCGTTTTTTTTTCCCCATAAATGGTTTAAATTGGGACAAAATCAACGCGCGCGCTTTGAAAAAAAAAGAAACTTGCGTAATTTTTCAAAGCGCTTTGTAACAATGCATGTGTAAGTTAATTTTGATATACATGTACATTGTATTTTTAAAGGAGTACAGGTACACGTAACATTGACCTCGCCGCTTATCTTTGGAAATGCTCTGTTCTCTGGAGATACAAGTAGTGTACTGAATTATGACAGGGATTTGTTTATGAGATGAAAGAGCTCGATTTCTCTTCTAAATAATGAAATATATCTATGCTTTCTGCGATGTAAATATATGTAGCTAGAAAATAGAGGAATGGGAACAAAAAGGCTTATTAAATTGTCCCGAATCTGTTGAATTGTAATATGTACATATTCCTGGTTTAGTTGAACTTGATATTATTTATTTTTTTCGTTTAAAGGGGTGTAAACATTATGTTTCATTTTTCCTGCTATTTCATTATTTGGAAAAAATGAAATGTAGAATTTTTTTTTGATAGAAATTATAGGAAATCCCTTCTACATGTATATTTATTTTAAAGTAACATTGCATATAAGTTTTCCCCTTATAATGTTGAAAAGATAGCAATCACATTTTAAAATTAAAAATCAATTTAAATTAATTGCTACGGCTCTCTGTAAATGCGTCTTTCCCTTTGTATCCGTATGTATACATATCCATTTACAACATATACCTCAACCAAGATATCTTAATTAAATCTGATTACAAGTTTCAGTTACAAACATACACAATTACCAAATAAAAGGCTTAAATTAAAAATTAAACGGAATACAATATTCATGAGGGGGAACAAACAAAGCTGTCTTTTCTTTCGGAGTGTATTCAACTTTTCGTAAAGGGCATGTTAACACAAGATTAATTTCTGTGGGTTTGTAGGACTGAGCCAAGACAGAGGAAACCTTAAACTTGATTAGATGTCCCATGGTGACCATGTAATAGATCTCTCTTCAGACAGGAAGTATCCGTGTCCCATACTGTATACTGTCACAAGTACGAACCTCCACGACTACAAGTATATATATACTGTCACCAACACAATATCCGAGTTAATAAATCCATGTATTATTGAATACTGATACTAAATTGTGAATATACTCTATTTTTATACTGAGTATTATGTTTATGGAATGTTTTTTTCTAGTATTTGTATTATTTTAAAAATATTAATATTTGAATCTGTAAAACCGCTTTAAGGCGAGGGACAGGTGGGGAGTTTCTTATTTCTCTATGAATATCAAGTCATTGATCAGGCATGGAACTTTGTCATCCCGAGTTTCCGCCTCGCTAAGCAGTGGAATCGAGGATGTATATTTAATGTATCAGTTTACTGTCTCTTCAGGCTTTGTGCGATTTCTATGATGGAGGCCATGATACAAATGAAAACATCAATCGTTTTATTGAAAAGTGTTGCCATACAATCGATACAGGGAAATTTTCAAATAAAGAGTGTATAGGCATTTTTGTTGTATAAACAAACTTGAGCAAGAGTATTCGAATTTTTGTCCTTTTTTTAATTAACTAAATTAAACCTTTTTCTCGTCCTTGAAAATGATTTTCGAGAGAATTCCTGAGGTCCAATTATGCAGTATACATGTACTTTGAGTATCGAGACAATTTGTTAACATGTATAGATATCAAAAACATGTTTATAAATATGATTGAATGTTCACAAAATTCAGTTTATAAAATATATATATATATATATATATATATATATATATATATATATATATATATATATATATATATATATATATAAAATTAAAAATATATATATGATTAATATACAACATGATTAAAAAATAGTATCATTGCACTTTAAATTCCACACTCCTCGAAGAGCATTAGGATCAAGTTGATGAGAGGTGATTACAATGGAATTTTTGTAATTGCATCCAAATGGAATACGCACAGCGTTAAAACCTGGGATTCGCGTAGTCTTCATACCAAGTCGGTGTATACAAAGACCTACATAAACATCTTCTAAGTAAAAAAAGGGTACATTTCGAGAAACCTCGTAAACCTTCTGCACAACATTCATACTAGTGATATATCCAGTACCGGAACAGAATCCCGGATATTTGGACTGAGGGTACATTTCCTTCGGAACGTACCACTTAAATCCTTTATGGCGAATGGGACCTTCATTCAGTCGACATTGACCCCCAATGGACGTCTGGAGAACACTGCCATACTTCTTGACAGCCGTTTTTAACGCTGGTAAACTCACAAACATATCGTCGTCTGTTTTCATGACAAATTTAGCGTTTTTGCATTTGATGCTAGCCCATTTAAAGCCCATAATAGTTTTTAACGTTAAGTTATTATAATGGTCGATGAAATCTTCCTGGATAATATCTCTGTGGGTTGCACTCTCCGTTTCAAGGTCCACCTGAAGCTTTTTATTGGAGGTCATCCCTAAAAGAAAGACGTATCGTATGTTGCCTTCATTTTGCTTGGTCTGGGAAAGCCAGGTTTCTCTCAAAGCTTTTCTTCTTTCGGTATTTGAGTGTATTGTACATATTAACACAATTATATCCACTACCTGGCTTCTCTCCGTAGGTTTACAAATGTTTTCATTGTCCAGTATATAGGAATAATTATGTGGAAAACAAGAAGTACAGTTTAGAGGCCTTTCGTTAGATGTCGGTTTTACTTTGGCTGTGTTTTCTTTCTTTTCTGTAATTTTAACTCTTTTGGTTGTAAGAGGTCGATCAGGTGTAAATGCTTCTCTTGTTAAAGAAATCGAACTTTTAATATTCGAATTTTCTTCAGAGCTCTTGTTCACCATTACACTCGAGTTCATATTGAGTTTTGAAACAGCGTCATTCAAGGCTTTGCTCAATGTCCATATTTTATTGAGATGAGAGGAAGCAGTGATTATATTTAACAAGACAAGTGTTGACAAGGTCGCCGTTAAGTATATCATGGCTGTGGCATTACAACAACGAAAACACCGAGAATATCCGGTTATTGATTTGCAATCCGCCATGACTTTTTTCCTGTATCAATGAAAATTATCCATCACTCTTCATAGTTATTTACAAGTCCAAACTGAAAGTTTTCCACAGAACGACAACAAAATGAGATTCACAAACGGACACTAAAACGTGGTAAGACCCAGACATGAGGATGTCAACATAATATTATAAATAGCTATTCAGGTAGAGTGGTTTAAATTTAAATTCGGTCGATTTAAATTAATCAAAGCACTGCAAGTACTGAATCATGATATCAGGGTATATTAACATTAAGGACGCTCTAAACACTGCACACTAAAGAGCTCTATTAATTGGGTAGTTTTATACAATTAGAGTGATCTGCCCTTAGATGTAAGATTAAAGAAATTGTTATTTACCGTTAATTACATAATTTATAATAGATTATAATATTTTTAGCATTATATAAGACCAAGAGTAAGAAATTTAATTAATTATTTTCATTAATTTTCCCAATGTAAGTAAACATCAGTGATTTCTGCTCAGAAATAGTCCATTGTCTTTGAACATTTTTCCTGTGCAAACTATGATATATTTTTCTCAGAGTCGAAAAAACAATTTCTGTTGGTGTTTAGAGCTTCCTTAAACGTAAAAATATTCATTTGAATAATTGAAAGTTGATTGGAAAAGTACAATATTAAAAGAAAAAAATTCCTTGCAGATAAAGATAACGAATCATTAAAATTATCTGCAAACATGTAAACGAGGTTAAATGATCACATTAAAACTACGTTTTTATTAATGAATTTAAAAAACGCATAAATTATGTCATGTTGATCTTCGTCAATAAATTTGTCCTAAAAAAGTAAAGAGCACCCCCCTCTCCTTTCAACACAGACAAATATTATTAAATTACAGTACATGAATATACTAAATCAAGTAAAAGTGACCTTGGACCTTTCTAGAAAATGTAGACCCCTCATCGGAAACGCGGATCTATGTGAAATTGTTACGAAAATTAGGGAGTTTTTTTTAAAGTCAACATTACCACCACCCCCCTTGAGATAGGTATTTCACCTTTAGGAAATGAGTTAAGGGCTTTTGGGGGGGGGGAGGGGTGCTTGAGAATTTTTTTTTTTATTGTTGGTTGTCACCTCTTTTCTGTAGTGGTATTGTCTAGCACTGGCAAATTAAAGGATTACACAAGAATGAACAAAAAGGTAAAATAAAACCCCTACTCCTACCCCGGCCCAGCCACACGCACTCAAATTGATGTACATATAAGGCAACCTCTACATGTATCTCTTTTCTCGATACCTTTATGAAGACCAAGACAATGTGTGTAATTGAACAAAAACGTTTACAAAAAGTAATTTGTATATGAATAGAGTGTTATACTAGTTTCTTGCGAAGGTCAATAGTTTAAGTAGAATGTGAAAACTTAGTACAATTCTCAGTTAACCTTGGTCTATCAGTAAGGCGTGGTATATCGACGATACTTTCATGCAGCGGCCGATCTAAAGGGTGTTAAGAAAGTTCGTTCCACATTTTTCTTATATTTTCAAAAAGAAATACGATGAGAAGATATTTACAGTTTGTGATATTTCATGTTTACAGAGTCCATTCTTGCTCCTGATAAGGTTTTAACGGTCTTTTATTGAATCAATAAGGGGAGGGCAGGTATTAAAACAGATGATGTCTGTTCAGAAAAAATACGGATGATGCATATTTGTGACATATACTATTGAGCACACATGTCAAAAATCCTTTCAAATACTATGCAAAAATTATAAAATCTGTAAAATATTTCAAAATGACAAACCTATTCTTTTCAAAAGTGATATATTGTACTTATACCTACACTCATCAGCTTGTCTAATGTAAGATAAGCTATGAAGTAACAAAAGTAAATAATCCTTTATTCTCACTCAAAATGACCGGCATTTTATCATTCGGGTGCTTTAAAGATGTTATATATTTTTTTCACATGGAAGAAAAATCCTATAATTTCCAGCTAGAAATGATTTGCTATAAATCTGAAGCACACTCTTGTGATTTTGTCAGACTTGAAAATTCATCTCTTTAGTTACGAACTACTTTGAATTTTTTGAAAATATTTTATTCCGGAACGAACTTTCTTAACACCCCTTATTTGTGGTATTTATTGCCTGACGTCACGGCGTCAGGCACTACTAAGGATCAATATTTCCTAGGTGCGAAGCTAAGAGGTCACAGTTAGCCAGCAAAATTTTGTGCATGCTGATTATCATCGGATTTTGTTACCTGCGTTTCAACAACAACAGTTAGCAGAAAAATAACCAATATTACTGATACAATATATTGATGTATTTACTTCCTTTAGTTTTGTGCATGCAGCTATTTATTCCAAACGAGTTCCTATACGGACATGTCCGTTTGACCTTTTTTCTGCATTTTTATACTACTGGATTAGTCCATTTGTTTTCTCGATGAGGGGTGATGCAATCATTTTGCGCCAAAATGTCACGTGTAAGTTTTTGCGCCCTTTTCCTGGACTATTCTATTGAATGGAAATGAAAACTGTATGTATTATATTAAGTCTGTTCTTTTTTGTCGGAATCTTGATCGAGCTTTGGAAAAAAAAACCATATCGGTGATATTGTGAAGTGAGACCCCTAATCCCTGGGAAAAACTTCCTGTATCCGCGCCTATCGCCATTCATATATCACCGTCAAGTTTGTTGGGTCATTTATGCATAACGGGCTTTATATATCTCTCGTTTCTAACAATCTTTGATGCTCTGGCATACCCAAGAACCTATTAAACATATTCTGCATGTCAGTCATAACCGTTATGATTCCCAATTTCTTGTAGTAATCATAATTTCAGATGTCTTCCTCAAAGCCTATGCTATATGCAGTTGAATCTAATTTACGTAATCTTTACATAGCCACGACTTTCCAGCATAAATCAATTACATTAGTTTGTTTCCCTTATTTACTTCATCCTCTAAAACCATTTTAGACTCGCGGAGTGAGGTGTTCATCTTTACGTCGGGGTTCGAATACACAGCGGGGACATATGTACATTCCATTTTTTATCTGAGATACAAGCAATATACATATTTATATAAATTTTGTTCTTTTTCTATTGCTCTGATGAATAGCATACACCTTAAAATTAATATATGATGTTTTGTGCAACAGCTTCATAATTTACTCTAGTGAACTAATTTACCCCCCTCCCCCCCCCCCCCAATGTAAACGTTTATAACTTATCAAGCTTATAGGTTCTATGGATATTGATGACATTAGTCAGGCAAGCTTTTTGAAAAGCTGTTACTTGTAGTTAAATAAGAGTTTACAATAGGTACTCCCCAGCCTGGGACTGTGTAAGATACGAAAGGAAATCGTCATTATTTTCCGGATAATAAATGACGTGGTAAAAGTGCATGGTGAATATAAACATTAAAAAGATGTTCAACTAGTAAAACTTGTTTTGAATATGCTACATCTGCGAATGATACAATAATATCTTATCTACGTTTTGCACTGCATAGCTACTCTGCATAAACAATGGGCATTATCACATGACAAAGATCCAGGGTATCAGCACGTGGTTCTTTTTGAGAAGCCTATGTCAATGATCCCTATAATAACATTTATCACTGACTTTAAATTTATTACATCGATGAATCCATTTTATGGGCATTAAAATTTAAATTATATTTAATTTTGAAAATTATTTACTTAGTTTGCTTTGAAGCCCCACAGCCTGAAATAAAATTGATCACTATTTCAGCTTTGAATATCTTTTTATTTCCTCGCATGAATACTTTTTAAAATTGTGAAAGTACTTTTTGAAATGCTAAATTTTGTTTGCGGCCGATTTGATGCTTTTCATCAATATTCTACTTGTTCACAGTTGAAATATACATTTCGACGAATGTCAACAATTGTATGAATAATCCAATGATAACGTTTCGTACGGCAGAGAGGTGGGGCTTATGTCGTTTCATCGCTGTCACCAACAATTTAAAGTTGCTGATGTTATTAATTTCTTAACCAATGAGAATCTATTCGCCATTTGAGAGACGTTAATTACGTAGTGTCGAGAAAGTCACGGCCTACTGAAAGTCCAAGGTAAACTGAAAATCGTACTAGAATACATGTTTTGCACACATTTTATTGAATATAAATTAAACTGTTTACAGTAACAAAGTTCAGCGGAATCGTTGCATCGATGTTCTGTTTTTGTATTAGTGCGCGAATACGCCTGTTTTACTGATAAATTTCTGATATGCCATTTTTGCCAGACAAAAGTGACCCGGTTCATATCTACATGTAACTATCATTTGATCCTCTGGCTTTTAATATTTGGTCTGATAAAATTTGTCGTGTTACATTATGAGTTTTGCATACTTCTGAGCAATAAGGAACTGAAAAGATTATTTAAGGAATCATTGTCGAGTTAGTAGCGTATGTCAGGGCATCAACGATAGTTTGAAACTTGGGATAATCTATGTAAAACTGGGAAAAGCCCGTGATGCATAAATTGGAATTATCAAGAAATCAACTCCACTAACTTTCAAAGTGTTATCACAGAGAAATCAAATACACTGTAGAAAAGGAAATAAACATGTATATGGTTACTATTGTTCGAAAGAAATGTAATATACCTGCTTACCAACGGACGAAGGGTTTGAAATGTTATGCATAGTCGTGACCATCCGGAACATCTCGGGCCTTTTTTTCTGTGAAAGGCCCGGGGTGTTGCGGGTGTAGTCTTGACACCATCGTTATCCATTGCTCCTTAAAGCTGAACACGACTCGTAAATAGACATACGCCATTTTTGATATCATTATTTACGGTACTTCAACAACAGGGTATACTCTTCAGATTCGTTACACCTGACTGCTTTATTGTCACGGGTATCGGTGTAGAATGGCGATGCGTGTTCGTGCTGGCTATTTTGCATTACCTTGGTTTACATTTTAATGCAGTGACGTTTATCTCTATGCTTGAATACTGCACTGACCAGTACAACTAAAATTGTAAGTTTGTTTGGTATCTTACTTTCCTGCAATAGACGAAGTATTACGTTATTTATATTGTTCGCTACCGCTGTATAGCATATACGTCCGTCTACACCGGCATCGACTGATTACACTGAAAAGTGACTAAGTCCGGGCCTTTATAGGGGACTGCAGATATAGCGAGAATCGGAACAAAAATGGCGGACACATTCCTTTTACGAATCGTGTTTAGCTTTAAACTGTTTCCAAAGTTAAAGCTGAACACTTCTCATAAATAGGCACTGTCAGACGGGTACATAAACCCTTCGATTTCATTACATCCGATTGCACACTCGAAGCTCGTGGCCGACATGTAGTATTCCTTTCGTGGTCTTGGAGTTTTTGCATTTATTCCTTGACCTGTATTTTTCTTGATACTTGTGTCCTGTTTTGGAAAAATGCGAAAAATTTGATGATTTCATTGCGACCGAGTATCATGGCAGTGTAAGATGTACGTCTTCACTCGTCTGACCTCTACAAAGAATACATTTAACTCTTAACAAATCTGCTCCTGTGTAGGGGTTGTAGGGGACAGTGTAAATGAACAGGAAATATGGCGGACTATGCCTTTTTCGAGTAGTGTTCAGCTTTAAATAAATATTTTTTTTCAGTTAAAATTCATTAAGCATGCAGTAATTACTAATGGTTAATTGGTTTTTGTCTTTTGATTCTTTTTTCCATTAAAAAGTTTTTAAAGAACAGGAAGGCGCAATGAAAGATATTAAAAGCATTTTTGAAAATGAGAAAAGTATTTAGTGCGTAAATGCATATGTACAAGAACGTGTATAAATATACTTATCATGATGACTAATTTATCACAACAAACAGATGTCGTCTCGATGATTCTGGGTATGTTTTTTTTTACACGTTAAGGGTATGAGCTTCTAATAAGGTTCATGTATGCACTGTTGAATCCAATATTTTTTACCTTGTATTTGAATGTGAATATAATTATGATAATGAATGCACAATTACAAAGCAATGAAATTTGGAGATGGGTGAACATAAAGAACGAAAAGCCTTTATATAATATATATTTCATCTTACATTAAATATACTTTATGTAAAATCTCTACACCTTGCAAAAATCTCATGAAGAATGAAGTTATTTGGCCATGAAATATTATGCACACACAAAAGAGGGCAAAAAGACTTACTTTCTCACACTATGACACTATTTTTCGATATGTGTGGGTCTTCGCTCCATTTCTTTAAAGTAAATCCTCAGAGTTACCATTAAAATATTTATTTTTTGGTTACCCAAATTATGGAACAAAGACCCATTATACCTTACAAATATAGTTTTATGACATAACTTTCGTATCTTTTCAAGAAATGCTTCCACTAAGTGAACGGTCATATCACAAACACGTTTCACATGCCACTATTCATCATAATGTGTGTAGCGTATTGGTTTAAGTGCTAGTCTCAAAAGAAAATACTACTCAGGATTTTTATTGCTAGCGTTCGACCCCAATGAATACCACATTTTTTAAAATAAAAGAATAAATGTTTAGCGAAAAAAAATCGTCTGGAAAGAATTGTTTCATGATTGCAGAAAAGTCAATATTGAAAACTTTACTATAAATACTAACTAAATTCACAGTTTGAATATGACTATTATACATCTAAAACTATGGGCTCTCTGCACGCTAAGTTCGCCCATCTCCTTTCCCTCTTTAAAAGATCGTTCAAAAACGAGCATGAAATATATCCGAAAATACCAGAATTCGAGAAATGTTTACTGCAACCCGAGTGAAATCTTTGATATACGGAATGTATCAAATAGAACAACATATACATGTATATAGCATATAGCTTATGTTGATAGATATAGCTCTCGGTTTTTCTTGTACTAAAAACAGGGTTCTACAACTTCCGGTGATGTAATAAAATTGTTGTATAAAAAACTACGACTTCATCTTCGTTCTATAGAACAGGCAGGCGAAGCAGTTCGCGTAAAGCAATACAAAATGTAAGTACACCATTTATTTTGAATCACTGGATTAGTTTATTTTTATCATTTCTTTTTTTTTCTTCTATGATTATTTGTTTTTTGAGGGATGGGCGATTTATTAAATATCGCTTCATGATTACGTCATTGAAAAAAAAGTCCAAACTTCTACAAAAAAAGATTTTTTTTTTTAAATGCCAAAGAATCAAAATCTATATAATCCCTTTATATGTTCTCTTTTTTCAATTTTTCCCCATTTATTTATTTTAATTTATATGTATTTTTCTGGCAGTACTGTGCAGGCCCAATGGCAGAAATGGAAATTTAAAAAAAATAATTTTGTTGTTTTTTTTTTTTAATTTCAAAAGTTATCTATTTATACATTTTCTTTCCGTGGGTGGAAAAGATGAATGTATCAATTTGGAATCGGGGGGACTGGAAATATAATGTCGTCATCCTATCATCCCAAGCGCATATGATCCTTCTTGTCTTGATGCTTTATAATATGGGTACTGTAGATTTTAACAATGAATTATAATTAGTGAATATAAGAATTACTTTATATCGCTCTTCAGCATCAAGTGACTACCTACATGTACACATATGTAATTGATTTGCCAACTTTCTATTGAATAAATTCGAGGAAATTGAGTATATTGCAAGAGAGCCTTCCGATTTTCAGACCCGTATTAAAAATGCTTGGAGGACAGGGCTTCATCTTTTTTCTTACTACATATATAGTCTTGTCGCTGTAAGATCGCTAAATGGAAAATTGCAGGTCTTTTAAGAATAAATGTTACCGAAATGTATAAGTAAAAGAAAGGCCCAACCCAACCCATGAAATAGGATAGTCAGCATATTTATTATTATCTATTTATTGATTAAAATATTTATTCTTTTTATCAACTTAACAGATCAGATTTTTTTTGGGGGGGGGGATTTCACCTTTTACATTTTTTTTTTTATCTTGCCAAACTATTTTGGTTGTTCCTCCATTCCTCCACTTCGGAAAACATGCTGAAAAAAATGATCTGATTTTATTCGATTCTTAGTCCAATGGTTCTTAATGAATATCTCCAAATTTACATGTATATGTTCATACAATGCATGTAGGCGCAGCAGTGGCTTCGTACAGGTATCTTAACCTTAGGGCTTATCCGATCGTGGTTAAAATCCAAGTGCTTGCATAAATTACCAAGTTGTACGTTATAGGATGTTTTCCAGGGCCAGTAGAAATTGGCGACATGCTTCGCTCGTGGTTTTTCTTCACTAACCTGCTCATGTATATAGGTATTATACACTGTTATATCCCGCGGTTAAACACTTGTTGATAATCATAATAGCTTAACTTCCATTCATTAAAACTGGTTGATAAAGAGTACGCAATTACTTTACCTCAACTTAGCAAACTGGAAAAGCACTCAAGGCAAGATGGAGAACTTTAAAGGCTCTGTCTGGTTTATATGAGAGATGGACAGTTTACCCCATTATCTCTGATCCTATAGTTATATTTGTCTATCAACACGTCCAAATATGACACAAAATCATCAAATGAAAAAAAAATGACGGGAAATGGAGGGGCATTTGAAATGAAGTTATATGAATGTGATTGATTGATTGATTGTATACTGTTTAACGTCCCTCTCCAGAATATTTCTCTGATATGGAGACGTCACCATTGCCGGTGAAGGGCTGCAAATTTAGGCCTATGCTCGGCACTTAGGGCCTTTGAGCAGGGAGGGATCTTTATCGTGCCACACCTGCTGTGACACGGGGCCTCGGTTTATACGGTCTCATCCGAAGGACCGCCCCATTTAGTCGCCTTTTACGACAAGCAAGGGGGTACTGAGGACCTATTCTAACCCGGATCCCCACGGGTGTTGCTAAAACGCGGAACGGAAAACGGAACGGAAAGCGGAACGGAACGGAAAACGGAAAATTTGGGTCAAACAAATAACATAGATTCTATATAAATCAGATAAAAGAGCAATATTCTTGTTGTAAGAATCATTTCTGATAAAAATTATTGTAAACTATTATATATTCATGAGTCATACACAACTTCCGTGGAAAAAAATGGTACTGAAAGAAATTCGACCCCCCCCCCACACACACACGAAATAGGATTTTCGTGTATGGGCAAAGGACATATCCCTCCTTTTTTTGGCTTCTCAAATTTGTTGCATGTTGGAAAATTTTTACTGACCCCCCTTTCTTTCAATTTGTTTCCAATGTCAATGTCTGTAAAGACAAAAATAACTATTTATGATATTCAGATTATGCACACAGTGTCGAATTCGCGAATCATGAAAGGGGGAGTGGCAGTTTCGGGTCTGTGTAGGGGCCCACAATCACATTAAAAATTGATTTATTAAACCTTATGTATATTTTTGACACAAAAAGGGGGGTATACCTATTACAACTTCTCAGACCTTTCCGATGAGCGGGAAAACAAACTCATTTTTACGGGGTCATTCATATACACCCCCCCCCCCCAAATACACACATGTACCGAAAACAAAATTTAACTTCATTGAATGCAAAGATTCTGCATTATATCTACCACATGAAAGTTTTCCAACTTTGTCTTTCCAGAATTTAAATATATAGAAAATGTCTCTATTTTGAATAAAATTTTAACAAGAGGCCCATGGGCCACCTCGCTCACCTGAGCACTGTGGCTAGGAAAATGTAGCAATTGGTTTATTATTGAAAAGTTTAAATCCAAAAATAGTCCCATGACCAATCATGACTTTGCTATTCTTGAGAAGATGATTTTTAAAAGAATCTTCCTACATATTTCTATGTAAAATTGTGGTCTGCCATTGTGGCCCCGCCCTACCCCCGGGGGTCATGATTTGAACAAACTTGAATCTACACTACCTGAGGATGCTTCCATATAAATATGATCAGTTATGGCTTTGCTATTCTTGAGAAGAAGATTTTTAAAGAATTTTCCTGTATATTTTTATGTGAAACTGTGGTCGGCCATTTTGGCCCCGCCCTACCCCAGGGGGTCATGATTGAACAAACGTGAATCTACACTACCTGAGGATGCTTCCATATAAATATGATCAATCATGGCTTTGCTATTCTTGAGAAGAAGATTTTTCAAGAATTTTCCTATATATTTCTATGTAAAGCTGTGGTATGCCATTGTGGCCCTGCCCTACCCCCGGGGGTCATGATTTGAACAAATTTGAATCTACACTACCTGAGGATGCTTCCATATAAATATGATCAATTATGGCGTTGCTATTTTTGAGAAGAAGATTTTTAAAGAATTTTCCTATATATTTCTATGTAAAACTTTGGTCGGCCATTTTGGCCTCGCCCTACCCCCAGGAGTCATGATTTGAACAAACTTGAATCTACACTACCTGAGGATGCTTTCATATAAATATGACCATTAATGCCTTTGCTATTAGAAGAAGATTTTTTAAAGAATTTTCCTATATATTTCTATGTAAAACTGTGGTCGGCCATTTTGGCCCCGCCCTACCCCCGGGGGTCATGATTTGAACAAACTTGAATCTATACTACCTGAGGATGTTTCCACATAAGTTTCATCTTTCCTGGCACAGTGGTTCTTGAGAAGAAGATTTTTAAAACATACCACCAAATTTTCATTAATTCCCAATTATCTCCCCTTAAATGAGGGCATGGCCCTTCATTTGAACAAACTTGAATCCCCTTCACCCAAGGATGCTTTGTGGTAAGTTTGGTTGAAATTGGCCCAGCGGTTCTTGAGAAGAAGGCGAAAATCTGAAAAGTTTACAGACTGACAGACAGACAGACAGACAGACGACAGACAAAATGTGATCAGAAAAGCTCACTTGAGCTTTCAGCTCAGGTGAGCAAACAACCAGTGTGTATTAGAGGTGTTCGAGCTTGCCGCAAAGGTTTGCCCATAAACGTATTATCTTAATAATTTTTTTTACATTTTATTTCTCTTTCATGGTTCATTTAGATATCAAATATTTGATCAACCCAGTCATAACCTTTTTACTACGGAAATGTTTGTTCAAGTTGACATCCTCACACTTTTTGTGAATGTAATTAACGTAGTAAGTTAGTGTAAAAAAAATAGTACTGAAAGATGTTGGAATTGGAACTTATCCCCCCTCCCGAATCAAACAATTGTTTCTTTTTGTGTTTTTGCTTGTCAAATACTTTTCAAATTCGTTTATCCCCCCCCCCTTTTCAAATTCGATTCTACGTGACTGCTATATGTGCAATATATGTAAATCTATATGCGATTTTCGTAAAAAAAAAAAAAAAAAAGACTGAGCATGACAAAATCAACTTGTATTTAATAGTGGGGGATTGAATATGTACAAAATATATCGTTTATGATAAATTGTGTGTTATTCAATGATTTAATCCAAAATAATATATTCCGTTTTCCGTTCCGTTCCGCTTTCCGTTCCGTTTTCCGTTCCGCGTTTTAGCAACACCCGATCCCCACGGGGCTATATGAATGTGTACATATTAACTATTTTATTTTCAACAGAGTATTTTGCGAAGGCACATAGTAGAAAATAAGTCACCCTTACTTACTCAGTACTTAAATTGGAAAATGTGCATGTATGTTCATGCAAAATTAATTGAATTTAATTTATTTATCTTGGCCTCATAAAACGATAAAAATGCTTTATTGATTACAGATTGAGAGATTGCAATTTACTATATGATTTATTCAATGGTCATTCTAAGTGATTTATTCAATGGTCATTCTAAGTGCTTAAAATCATTTTTTTAAAAAAACACAGAATTAGAAGTTCTTATTGTGCAGCGTGTCGTCTTTTTAATCCAGCATAATTTTAGTGAGCGCAGCGAACACTATAGACTAACATGTAAGAACAGAGGAAATTAGGAATGAAATCTGTACATACATCGGGCATATTTTCCTGTGCAACATTCCCAGAATTCTATGGAACGCCAAATTAACATTTATTCAAATATTTGTACCTATCTTCAAATAATTACACCTATCTTCAAATAATTGCATCTATCTTCAAATAATTGTACCTATCTTCAAATGAATTGAAGATAGGTACAACTGAATTAAAGATAGGTACAACTGAATTAAAGATAGGTACAATTAAATTGAAGATAGGTGTAAATAATTATACCTATCTCTAAATAATTAGACATAGGTACGAATGAATTATACCTATCTTCAATTCAATTAAAGATAAGTTCCAATTAATTATACCTGTATCTCTAATTCATTTGAAGATAGGTATAATTGATTTAAAGATAGGTACAATTGATTTGAAGATAGGTACAATTAAGACATATCCACAAAGGATTTGAAGATAAAGGTACAATTCAATTATACCTCAGTTCTTTTTGTTTTGTTGAAAATAATGAACGCTACAATGGAGACAATATTGAAAATGGAGGGAAACGCACAGAACCTACAGAACGACGACAACGAGGATGAAAGGAGAAATAAAGATAAATTCAAAATGTGCAAAAAGCATAATATATTTATGAATTAAAATACACACGTATATCAATAAGTGAGCGAAAAACGTGTGATATACCTGAATACCCCAAAAGTGACGCTGCGGCTGTGACGTACCGGAAATGACGTATGATAAAGGAAGTATTTATTATTTCCAATATCTTAGTAATTAAAGATAGGTTCAGTTCAATTGTACCTATCTTTATTTCATTGTATTTGTACCCATCTTCAAATCAATTGTACCTATCTTCAATTGAATTAAAGATAGGTATAATTGAATTGTATCTATCTCTAATTCATTTGAAGATACATATGTAGGTACAATTGATTTAAAGATAGGTACAATTCATTTGAAGATAGGTACATTTCTTTAAAGATAGGTATTAATATTTGAATTTATGTTAATTTGGCGTTCCATAGAATTCCTTAGCTACCAGGATTACATGCGAAATTATTACAAAACAGAAAAAAGACCAAGAATAATCATTCTGTACCGTTTACTTTTCTTCATTTGCAAATGACGTTAAAGAAACAAAAATATGTTCATCTACTCTACAACGCATTTCCTTTAAGAAATAAATGAAAAGTTGAAATGGGAATTGAAGTGGGTTGGTCAAATCTTGTGAAGGCCGAATGCGTCTCGGAAGATTTGATGATGTACAGACCCATTTCAAAGGGAATTGAAGTTTATTTATTACTTATATATGACCTCGTGCACAGAATTGAATTGGGGCTGATTTTGTATAGTCAAGATATCCGTATTTGACGTTGTTGCGCAATTCGTCTAAGTGTAAAAATTATTCAAACGTGAACTGCAATCGCATCATCTCGAGTCTTTCCGTCGAAGGTCGGAAAATCAACCTCAAACGTCAATCGCATCATCTCGGGTCTTTCCGTCAGAGGTCGGAAAAACAACCTCGAATGGATTAAGATCACAGGATGTTAAAAATTTATACATTTTCTGTTTATTCAAATATAGGATACACGGAGTTAGAAGTCCTCTGTATATTATATTTTAGGTAATATCATTACATTGAATAAAGTTAAACTCCATATTCCACAGATAAAAGGTCCCCATGCATTTATTTCAAAGATCGTGAAAAGGGGGAGTTGTCATGGCGGCCTCCATATACATTCGAGGTCGTTTTTCCGCTAGTCGGAAAGGCCCGAGAAGTTGCGATTGCCTCAAACGTATTAACATTACCGGATGTTAAAAATTTATACGTTTCATGTTTATATAAATATGTGATAGACGGATTTAAAAGTTCTTCTATTGTTTATTTTAGGTAATATATTTACATTCAATAAAGTTAAACTCCATACTCCAGAGATAAGTGGTTTCCCACATTTATTTCGAAGTTTGTAAAAAGGTGGGTGTCATGGCGTCTACTTAATACATTCGAGGTTATATTAGTTTTTTTAAGAAATGCACATATAAATACCCTCAGATTTGATGTTTTAGCAAAAATTAACTCAATATCTCCCTTCGTTTAGAAAAAAAAAAACATTGCGGAAAATCCTCAAAAATTGAAAAGGTCTTAACTCATCAAGATACACCCCATACCAAAAATCAGCTCAATATCTTCAGTCGTTCAGAAAAAAGTGCGAAAAACCATTTGGGACAGACAGCGGGACAGCTAGACAGACGGACGAACGGACGAAGAGTAGACCTATAGTCCCCCTGGTTTCATCGATTTATTTGATAAAATACTGGTTCGACAGTTGCTGGGAAAAATGAGATTTTAATTTCCATTCTTAGCACCCTGGCGTCGGAAGCATATTAAAGGGGGGGGGGGGGGGGGCTAAGAGTAAGAATTTTTTCTTAGACCTCCCAAAAAAATCTGACAAGCAAAAAAAAAAAAAGAATGTCCATTGTCAAAACACGATAGTCCTATTTAGTTGGGGGGGGGGGGATGAACTTCAGTACCGATTTTTTTCCAAACAGCACCACTTTCCCAATTTTAAACCTATACTGCAACGTGTCTGTGGAAAGTGGGGGAAGGGGGGGGGGGGGCTAAACCTACGCAGCAATGTTCAATGTCTATACTAAGTCCATCTTGGGGAAAAAGTGGGGGAGGCTAAGCCCCCCCCCCCCCCCCCCCCCGCTTCCGACGCCTATGCAGCGTACGTATGTTCAATACATCTGTTGCCCATTTCAAAGAAGGGATACTTGTAATAATGCACTGCATCACTCCCCTTCAAAACAATTATATTTTATTGAAGGGGGGGGGGGTTAATTGGCTTTTGGGGAAGTTGTACTCTGTAGCTACTACAGAGAGTAGAATTTTCCCCCGGAAAATTGACTCTGGTGTGGGATTTCCGTAGGTGAAATCTTGCTCTACAGCCAGTTTTCCGAGGGGAAATCCTACTCTAGAGTCAGTTTTCCGGGGGCAAGATTTTAGGTTGGAGCTTACTCAGCAAGACCGGTCCTTCGGATGAGACCGTATAAACCGAAGTTCCGTGTCGGAGTAGGTGCTGGCACGAAAAAGATCCCTCCCTGCTCAATGGCTTTGAGTTCCGAGTTGTGGACAAAAGCAGCTCTCCACCGGCAAGTGGTGGCGTCTCCATATGAGTGAAAAATTCTCGAGAGGAACGTTAAATGATAATATACAATCAATCTTCTGAATAATTATTTTGCAGCTGAGATCGGGCATTGGTCGCAAAGACTTTCGTGATCTGTCTCTTTGTCTGTCTCTTCTATTCGTCCAACGGCAGTTTTCGATAGGCCTGAACTTAGCAAGAATTATTTCCTGTTGGCCGCCAAATTGCAGGTCTAAATGCCATTATTCCTTCATTATTCACCTAACTTTTAAAATTTTATACTAGCCATTCTAGGGTAGAAAGTTTGTTTTTTATCCGAGGATATACATTTTTAAGCTTCCCTTACTTTATAGTTTTTATTTTATATAGACCCCCTTAATATTAATGCTACGCCCTCTTAAGGGACAATATCCCTCTGCTAAGAGAGATAACTTTCTGAAGACAATTTCCCATAATTTCCCATGAAATTCATATAATAGTCATGTCAGATTTCATAGTTTTTATTCACAAGGACCAATTTATAGTCAACTCAATCAAGTCAGATATAACGTTCCGATGTGAATTTCTAGTTTCTGTTGCCAATATTTTTATTAATTATTTATAATAGTTTACCTAAATCATTTACACTCAGATCCTTTAAATGGTGTAATTTGAGAAATTTCTATCCCTTAACTTATAAGTCATTTAATTGTTACAGAAATTTCAGATGCAGAATTGTTTATTTAAACAATAAAATGCTTTCTTTGTTTGTTATTACTGGAATTAACGGAAGCAGCTGTTGCAGAAAAAATATATAACCCGCGTAAGCGTGTTATGTAATTTTTTTCTGCAATAGCTGCGACCGTTAATTCCAGTAATAACAAACAAAGAAAGACATTTTATTGTTTATATTTATATCTGTTTAAATAATCATTTAAAGTAGAATAAAAATGATTAATTATTGTATTAATGATGCGAACGTCTTTATACGTTTCATTGATGGATCAGCCACTGATCAAGAAATCTGTACAAGCGACATGCCTAATGTAGTTCATGCAGTGATGAACGCAATGGGTTTTCTTAAGAAATAAAGGAGAAAATACTCAGTGGATGTAAATATAAACATTTAATTAATATTTTGTTTCACTAAACATATTTTCAAGGGCGATAATGGAAAGATAACTCTTGTTGATTGATGCGTATTATTTTACAAGCACAGAAAACAATTTGATATTCTGATTTAAAATGTAACGCTTCAGTATGTTTTCTTATGAGCATTAGATAGGTATGAGAGTAAATATTATTTCTATATATACCTCATATTTTTAATTTTATTATGAAATAAAAAATAACTGATCTTTCTTTTAACCATATCAAATTTTCTTCACATCATGATTTGACATATTCTTCATTTCTGAAAAAGTAAGCAAGGCTTCATACTTCAAACTATTTTCCATTTGAATTTAATGCTATAGTTGTTGACGAAAATCAATGTTTGGAATTTTAAAAAAAATCGTGAAATTTGGAGCAGAGGGATATTGCCCCTTAAATTTGGTAAAATAAAGAGGAAAAAACCCCAGATCGACCTCCAATATGGCGGCCAATGAGAAATAACTTGTTTAAATCAGGTTTATCGAATATTATCTAAAACGATTTTTAGAAGACATGAGAAAAGAATTATTTAAAAGCTTTAAATCAACAAAGATCATTATTCAGATCAAAGTTCACAAAAGATAAATGTTCAGGTCAAAGTTCACAAAGGAGAAATGTTCAGTTCAAGGTTCACAATGTTATTTAGATGATGGCACCAGGAAGATTTGTGTTCCTGTGCCTTGTTCTGCTGTTAGGTGTCTGTTACGGCCAGCCCCCACAGTCTGATGCTGGCACTGGACTAGTAGCTGGATCTTTAGGATTAGGACTTATTACTCTTGCAGGTAAGTCCAACTTATCTCACATTGTACGTCTTCAGACAAAATATTTATGCATGTTTCCCTCTCAAAAAAAAGTTCTTTAAACTTTTTATTTCAACTAAAAGGCTCAAGTATGCTGATTCAAGATCAAAACTTGTTCTGCAGGCATCACTCTGTCTGTTTTAAGTTCTTTTTGTATATTCATTTTTCCCAAAAAGCTATTGATAAATTTTTTAAAATCTTGCCAAAAAGCATATTTTGAGTGTAAATATTCTTCGTGAAGGAGAAAGGGATACACTGTGTGTATGTTATATGATTATATCTGACTTTGAGGGATTTGTGGAACCACGATACCGTAACTGATATTTTCAGGGAAAATTCCTTCCAAAAATTAACAATATCATGCATTGTTACAACGCACTTTGTAAAATTACGCACTTTGAATTTTTTTTTCAAAGTGCGTTAAATTTGGGACCAAATCAACGCACTTTGAAAAAATAAAATTTCTTTTTAAAGTGCATTAATATCGACCATCTTAACGCACTTAAAAAAAATGGTATGGTCGATATTCTCGCAAATCTTAGGTATGATAAATAATTGAACCTGTTAGATAACTTTTCGGTGTAAAGGTCACTTCAGGATGTGAAAATGAGCGATTTTGATTTTTCCATACTTTGAAAATTCTTTCTCTCATAAATGTTTTATTGTACTTCATTTTTTCCAGTTTGCATGCATTTATTTATTGAGAGTTAACGTCAGAGTTACATATATTTGGGTGAAGCATAGGCATCGGTACCGGGAGGGGGGCTTAGTAGACATTGAAAATTTGGGCTAACCTTTAGGGGGGGGTCGTCCATGTTCAATTTGTAAATTAACAAGAGGCCCAGGGGCCACAGCGCTCACCTGAGCACATCGGATAGGAAAAAGCACATATCAGATCAGAACTGAAAGTTTACTAAGGTTGGGGGGGGGGGGGGGCTTGAATTGTAACCCCCCAGGGGATCATGATTTGAATGAACTGGAATCTACACTACTTGAGGATGATTCCATATAAATATTACTAATCATGGCTTTGAAGTACTTGAAAAGAAGATTTTAAAAGGTTTCCCAATATATTACTATGTAAAAATTTGGTCGGCCATTTTGGCCCCAGCCTAGCCCCGGTTCATGATTTGGACAAACTTGAATCAACACTACCTGAGGATAATTTCACATGAGTTTCATCTTTCCTGTCTCAATGGTTCTTGAAAAGAAGATTTTTAAAGATTTTCCCTATATATTCCAATGTAAAACTTTTATCGGCCATATTGGCCCAACCCTAGCCCCAGGGGTCATGATTTGAACAAATTTGAATCTACACTACCTGAAGGTGATTCAACATGAGTTTCATCTTTCCTGGCCCAGTGGTTCTTGAGAAGAAGATTTTTAAAGATTTTCCCTATATATTCCTATGTAAAACTTTGATCGGCCATATTGGCCCCACCCTAGCCCCAGGGGTCATGATTTGAACAAATTTGAATCTACACTACCTGAAGGTGGTTCAACATGAGTTTCATCTTTCCTGGCCCAGTGGTTCTTGAGAAGAAGATTTTTAAAGATTTTTACAATATATTCCTATGTAAAACTTTGATCAGCCATTTTGGTCCCACCCTACCCCCGGGGGTCGTGATTTGAACAAACTTGAATCTACACTACCTGAGGATGATTCCATATGAGTTTCATCTTTCCTAGCCCAGTGGTTCTTGAGAAGAAGATTTTTAAAGATTTTTCCTATATATATTCCTATGTAAAACTTTGATCAGCCATATTGGCCCCATCCTACCCCCACGGGTCATGATTTGAACAAACTTGAATCTACACTACCTGAGGATGATTCCACATGAGTTTAATCTTTCCTGGCCCAGTGATTCTTGAGAAGAAGATTTTTGAAAAATGCTATTAATTTTTCATTGATTCATAATTATCTCCCCTTGGAAAAGCCTTCGGCTCAGGTGAGCTAAAAAGTTTTTCGAAAGATATAATTATTACAAATTAATTCTCTCAATTACTAAAATCTTAGTCTAGAATTTTTGTTTTATACATATTTTTTCAAAGTGCGTTAAATTTCCCCTTAGTAAAAAATGTTGATGTACACTCTTAACGCACTTTGAAAAATTTTTTTCAAAGCGCGTTGAGTGTGTCCAAAATTTAACGCACTTTGAAATTTTTTTTCAAAGTGCGATGATTTTGTCCCAATTTTAACACACTTTGAAAAATTTTTTCAAAGTGCGCAATTTTTTCAAAGTGCGTTGCCACAATGCATGTTCCCCAGTCCGGGCAAATCTTTAAGAGTTTATACTTTTTTCTGCCAACGAAATCATGTGTTTCAAAAAACAAGGACTTTTAATGCCTCTGAATACTTTCAGGACTTTCAGCTTCTAATGCAGTTTTAGCTGGCCAAGTTCAAAATCTCCGAAGAAATTGTAATGCAGCTGATTGCTCGGATTGTGAGGAGAAACTGAAAAAGTGTCTGGAGGAGAAGGAACGAATCCAGAAAGATTTAATCGGTACTTCTTTTATAATGTTATATAAATGTCATGTTAAAAATTGAGCATTGGGAAACTTTGTCGGTTCAACTGGTGCAGGTAAAAGGGATTTTTATAGTGCTTTGTATATCGCTGGAGACTTCAACAAGTTAAAGATCGAAATGTATGTAAAATAAATACTAGAATTAATTTGTGTTATTCTATTTATGTATAAACGATAAACAGCATAGGAACACATGATGATTTTTTTTTCAAATGTACTATTTATACATTGCAGTAGCACTCACGTTTATTTTTAGAACCCAAACAATGTTTTTGATAACCCCCTCCCCCCGTTTTAAACATGCTGCATGGCAATAATATATATATCTTATTAATCAATTAAGCTTTTTTTTTTTGGTTATTTCTTGCAGAAACGGAAAATGATTTAGAAGAGGCAAAGGAAACAATCGACCTACAGACTACAACTATCCAAAGTAATCTAAATACTGTAAATGTATTATATTTAGCGTGTACAATATTTGGCATCGTCGGAAGATGAATATTTGGCGAAATTAATTTTTTTATAAGTTAGCGTAGATTTAATTTAGCGCATTTCTTAATGTTTTTATTAACGTTGTACTTAAATTAGCGAAAATTTCTTTCCGCCAAAAACGCTAAAAAGAGTACACCTCCAAATGCAATACGTTTACAGTAATTAAACTTTTAATGTATTAAAGAAAATATTTCATAATTCATCAAGGTATTGTAGAACAACTTCAACAAGCCTGTTAATCTACAATTTGCATATGAACAAAACAGTTCCGTGGGTAATATATGCATGTTTATTGCCTTTTTTTTTCACTGTAGACTTGATTTTTTTATGCGAACTTTTTATTTTTAGATTTAAATCAACAAGTTGCAGGTAAGTTCACGTTTTCAAATATGAAATTAAATGAATTGTTTTGAATATTATGGCATATCAAACGTTGCAATTTTTTGACCTTGTCCATTTGAATTGTTTAATTTTACACTTGTATTGCATAATTTTTTTTGTATTCTATAATTTTACATCTGCATTTTTGTATTCTATAATATTACATTTGCATTGTAAAATTTTCCATTCGTATTTTATGATTTTTATTCGTATTCTATAATTTTCCATTTATATTGTATAATTTTTCATTTGTATTGCATGATTTTTATTTGATTTCTATCAATTTCCATTTGTTTTGTATAATTTTCCATTTGTATTGTATTATTTTTCATTTGCAGTCTATATTTTGAATTACCGGTATTTTCCATTCGCAATGTATAATTTAATTATATCCCCGCTCCGAAGGAGAGGGGGGTATACTGTTTTACCCTTGTGTGTCTGTCTGTCTGTCCGTGTGTCTGGGTGTCCGTGTGTCCGTCCGTAAAAAATTTTCGTCGCAGTTTTCTCTGATGCATGCCATATGGTGGGATACATTTTCGCTCAAATCAGATGTCAACTTCCTGTTTGTCTGTGCGTCTGTTAGTTTCATACATAACAAATTTTCGTCGCAGTTTTCTCAGCAACTACTCAACGTAGATGCTTGAAATTTTAACACAATCTTCTCTGAGGCATGCCATATGGTGGGATACCTTTTCGCTCAAATCCAATGTCAACTTCCTGTTTGTCTTTGCGTCTGTCCGTTTCATACATAACAAATTTTCGTCGCAGTTTTCTCAGCAACTACTCATCGTAGATGCTTGAAATTTAAACACAATCTTCTCTGAGGCATGCCATATGGTGGGATACATTTTCGCTCAAATCCGATGTCAACTTCCTGTTTGTCTGCGCGTCTGTCCGTTTCGGATCATCTCGCTCATTTATCAAAACGATACAGGCTAAATCTTGACCAATGAAATCCTTCGTAACGAAATAAATAAATAAATCTTCGGATACAAATACAAATGAAAAATAAGAAAATTTTTATACAAATAAGAAATTATACAAAGGAAATGGAAAAATATAGAATGCAAATGAAAAATTATACAATTCAAATGAAAGATTATTCAATACAAATAGAAATTAATAGAATACAAATAAAAATTATACATTAAAATTGAAAAATTACACAACTGAAATGGCAAATTTTAGAAAATAAAAATTATACAATGCAAATAAAACATACTTATAAACAAATTGAAATTATACTATGCAAGTAAACATTATACAATACAAATGAAAAAATTTACAATGCAAATGGAAAATCATAGAATACAAATAGATAATATTATACAATAAAAATGAAAATTTATATAATGCAAATGGAAAAGACCGAATATTACAACGTTTGATATGCCATAGAACATTCACTTTCCTAATTTTTTTTTAACCAATAAAAGAGAAAGTGGGATTAAGATTTTATTCAATGAATCCAATTGTATATATATTTATTACATAACATATGTTCATACAAACTGAAGGAATTTCCAAAAACATTGAATTCCTGCATTATAATGTTGTTTTTTTTTTGTTTTGTTTTTTTACCTTTTTAGGGGGTGTTTAAAACATAAAATGGTATTTATCTCATACATGTGGATGATATAGCCCATGAGATTATTTCGATAATCTAATTTTAAGAAATCACTATTTGTTGCGTTCAATTAGGAATAAGTAAATTTAAAAAAAAACAACTAGTCTGGTCCCCTTCCCACATCAATGTAGAGAGTGCGCGAACGGAATTGTGGAAGGGGGCCAGACTAAAAAAACACACGTTAAAAAAATGAAAACATAATAATTATGCATTATACGAGGGTTGTTCGAAAAGTTCGTGGACTCTCATAATATCTTTTTTATTAGCTCACCTGAGCAGAAGGCTCAAGTGAGCTTTCTGATCAAAATTTGTCCGTTGTCTGTCGTTGTCTTTGTTGTAGTCGTTGTCATAAACTTTTCACATTTCCATTTTCTTCTCAAGGACCACTGGGCCAATTTTAACCGAACTTGCTACAAAGTGTGAAGGGAATTCAGGTTTGTTCAAATGAAGGGTCAAGCCCTCTTTCAAGGGAAGATAATTATGAATTAATGAAAAATTTATGGCATCTTTAAAAAATCTTCTGCTGAAGAACCACTGGGCCAGGAAAGATGAAACTCATGTGGAAGCATCCTGAGATAGGATAGATTTAAGTTTGTTCAAATTACATCCCCGGGGGTAGGGCGGGGCCACAATAGCTGATCAAAGTTTCGCATAGGAATATATAGGAAAAATATTTTAAAAACCTCTCCAGAACCATTGGGCTAGGAAAAATGAAACTCATGTGGAAGCATCCTCAGGTAGTATAGACTCAAGTTTTTTCAAATCATGAACCCTGGAGGTAGGGCGTGGCCGCAACAGCTGATCAAAGTTTTACATAGGAATTTATAGGAAAAATATTTAAAACCCTTCTTCTCCAGAACCATTGGGCCAGGAAAGATGAAACTCATGTGGAAGCATCCTCAGATAGTGTAGACTCAAGTTTATTAAAATCATGAACCCTGGGGGTAGGGCGTGGCCGCAACAGCTGATCAAAGTTTTACAAAGGAATTTATAGGAAAAATATTCAAAAACCGTCTTCTCCAGAACCATTGGGCCAGAAAAGATGAAACTCATGTGGAAGCATCCACAGGTAATGTAGATTTAAATTTGTTTAAATCATGACCCCAGGGGTTAGGGTATGGCCACAATAAGGGTTCAAAATTTTGCATAAGAATATTTAGGAAAAATCTTCTCTAGAACAGAGAAAGTTTTGTTTAGTCATATTGACATGTAAGCTTCTACAAGTAGTGAAGATTTAAATTTATTCAAATAAAGTCCAAGGGGATGTTAGCGAGGGGTTACAATGGACGATCGAGTAATATGTAATTGTTGGAAAAATCTTTAAAAATCTTTACAAGTATGGCAAAATTATACATGTATGCTTTATTGATATAGTGACATTATCAAGTAATAGAAAATTCACCACCAACCCCCCCCCCCAACCCCCAACAAGTAAGCTTTTCAATATTAAGCTGATTTTTGTTTTTGAACTAGCCCATGTGCTCAGGTGAGCGATGTGGCCCATGGGCCTCTTGTTTAACGTCATTTGCTATCCAAATTTGGTAGAAATATTTTAACAATAAATTTAAATGATTTGTGATTTATTTTAAAACTATTCAGAAATAAAAACTGCAGAAATCGGACCACGGGGCAGGTCAAAATTTAGTAATTCAGAAACAAGACACTAAATAAACATAATACATGTATGTCTGTAGTCCTTTTCTCTTTGAAATGGAACAAAAACGAAAATAAATCCTACACTTTTAAATTAAGAACAATTACATTGATTCACATTCCAAATTATGGCTTAAAATTTTTCTTCGTTGAAAAGAAATTAGTTTGAGAAGATAGGTAGTCCTCATTGACAGCGACAAAAATGATGACGTTTTTGAACGTCAGAGAGCAGCAGATGTCGATGCAATTTTGTGTTATACTGGGGAAAAATCCTAAATAAACTCTAAAAATGTTAAAGAATAAAGAAATGTGTCACAAGTAAGTCGTTAATGTGTTTATAAATGGTACAGACGGTATTTGAGTTCCTTATACTGTGAAAGCAGAGTTAGGTAATGAAAGAAATTAAAACATTTATAAAGGAAATTATGCAACGAGAACAAATGTGAGGGTTAACTAGTATCAAAATATTGAACATTTTTATATCAATTAAACTGGAATTCAATTATCCAACAATTAACTTTAATAGAGTTATATTTTTCCGAGAGAACAGTGACGTAAAAAATAAATGTCAAGTGATAGAAAAGGGTTTTTAATGAGTGGGTATATATTGGATTACACTGTGTGAAATGTAGAGGGATAGTAATTTTTAGAAATTCTTGACGCTATGTTTTGACGTTACATTGTCGTTAAGTGTGTTCCGCGGGTACAAAACATGTTAATTTTAAAATGAAATAAAATTGTTTTCTGTTAAATCGAATGAAGTTAATCTTCACACATCAACAAAACATATATTTTTTTAAATATTTTATTGTGCTTATTTTAAAATTTTTGAAACTAGTATAATCAAGATTGACATCGTCGACGAACTTTTCAAACAACCCTTGTAAATCACGTTCATTATTGAGATGTAAAATAATGACGTAATAATCTTCTGCATGAAAGTCTTTCTAAAGTCTTTGGTGCCTAATTTGGTTAAATGACGGAAGAAAAGAAATACGGCGATTTTTTTCGTTAATTGCAAAGATTTCACGGAAGTTCATGACCTTGAAAATGGTAGCAATGAAGAAAAAGATTTTAATGAACATTTTGAAGGTGATCAAAACGCAAAATCAATCACTGTGCCGGTTACGGAACTTTCAGAAAGTGAGCAGTTAGAAGTTTTAAGCAGGTTATTTAAGTCGGAGGTAATGGAAAACAAGGAGTAAATTTCGAAAGAAAATTTGGCAAATGCTCCCGAAAACGTTACAAAGTTTGTTCACTAAGACAATGAAGTGATTGAAAAATTTATCCAAGATAAAGAAAGCAAAAATACGCTGAGAAAAACACTCTATGATATCAATTTGTTAAACTGTTTAAGACTTTCCTTCTTTCGAAAATGAAAAGCGTGAATTCTTCAGAATTCCTCCTACAGAATTAGATGTCTATGTGGTAAATTTCTTATTCAGCGTTCGGAAAGGGGGGAAGAGGAGTTTGAGCCAACTTCATTGAGAAGTCTGATTTCTAGCATCGACAGAGCTCTCCGACGACACCGCCACAAAACAAGCATTATACATGTACAATCGCCTGAAAATACTTTCGCTGCAACAAAACAGGTTTGAAAGGCAAACAAAAAGGGAAGGGAAACAGGCCATAAAAGGCAGATCCATTATCAGATGATGATATTAATATTCTATTTGACTCGGGAGTTTTGGGAGTTAACCCCCCCCCT